TATAATTAGCTTGTTTAACCACATACTTGATTCAAATTAAACAAATCAATCATAATTCTTAAAACATAATTTCAGTAAAGTACATGACAAAGACAATGAAATATGTAGTTAATACTTGAGGTATTTCAAAAATTTGCCCAGACACTTCAATTACAGGCTTGCATAAAGTGCATCTTCAGCTTACAGTTGGGCACCCGTGTTTGGAACCTGTGGGTAATTACTATAACTGTACACAATCTCACCTGTTTGTGTTTACAGATACACCTGTGCATGGCGTCCAGTTGTCTACACAGCCCCTCCACTAACACTGGCACTATCTGCTGGAGAGGCATTCTCTGTGAGATCAGGACCAGCACATCTAGAGGGAGATCCAGCTCAACTAACTCAAAGTCCTCTGAAATATCATATAATATAGACCTTTACATACACTGACAAGTCCGTTAAGAGAGTTTATGTATGTGTATGAGTGCTTCAAACTTAGGGATATATAGAAGGCATAAAATTGACTCCTGTTACTGTAATGGTGGCCTAAATTTACGAAATAAACATTATTATTATCCATACCCCATGAATGAGATCATTATGTGTAACATGAGGAACTTACAACTTCTGTATTTATTGGACAGCTTAAACTTGGTAGAATACTTTTAAAAACATTTCTGATAAACTAAAGATATAGTATTATGTATTATTTGATCATACTATGCCTTTAAAAAATTAAACCATAAAAACATGAGGCAATCTTATGAAACATTATATCATATTTTCATAGCCAAGAAGCTTCTCTACAACAGAAGTGCTATATTTTAAGCTTTGGAATGTTAAAGAAAGCAATGAAAGCTGCAAAACTTCCAAGGTGAGCCTAGTAACCAGGTGAGCATAGAGTATGGTGTAAATCCCTTTCCCAAAATAATGCATCAAGTTATGTTACTCCATGTCAGTCATTGTAAGTGCTTCTTTTAAAAAGAGCTTTGTTAATATCTTAGCATCATTTTTATATCAAACACTGAGTAAGCATATACAATTCTTAACATAAAGCCAGCGCTATGAGTTTTAATATAAAGTTAATAAATAAGCAAAAGCAAGCCATTACCCTTACTGTGTTCGTAGTGGATGATGGGGGCACATCCTATACCAGTGTCAAGGTCACCTGTCACTTGGAACAGGACATTGACACCCACTGGATTCTGTAGTAATAATAATAATAATAATAATAATAATAATAATAATAACAACAACTGTCCCGATCTCCAGTTACTTAGATTAGAACATTAATACCCACAAGATCCTGTAATGACGGAAATCAATGAATAATAATAATAATAATTGTCCACGTCTCCAATCACTTGGAAATTAACTGAATAACCACAATTGGAAGACACAAACAAACAATAAATATTATATAAATACTTTTCCTTTTACTAATTTAAGTAGAAATGTTGTGGATTTTTTATTTTTGAAATTACATAAGATAACATAAAATTACATAAAAATGTACCTAAATATAAATAATTCAATTGAGTGCCACATCTTATTTAACCAAGAAACTTCTGGAAAAAGAAAGTCAATGACCTCACTACAACAGAGATAATGTAATATAAAAAGAAAACTAAATCTTACCTCACTTCTGCTCTTCTTTTTCTTTTTGGAACCTGCATTACTTCCTTCTTCTTCATCATCAATGTAATTTAAAAGATCTGCACAAGTCAGTCCTTCTGTGTTCAAAGTACTTAAAGAAGAATCATTCTCACTTTGATTGGATAATAAAACTGAGCTGTTTTGAATGTGGAATACTGCTGCATTGGACTGTAACCTGTCTTGAAGGTCTTCTATTTCTATGGCAATTTTTTCTTGACACTTATCTGAAATTCATTTGAGAACAAAATGCAGGTCAGCAATTTTCTACTATAATTCTATTTAGCAAAGATCAAATGTTACTAAAAAAAGAGTCCAATATTAAAATAAAAATTAAAATAAGCTGACCCTGAATACAATCCAGTTTATACAACATTTATTTTTTCAATTAATTCCTCACAAATTTTTCATAACTTGATAAGAATATGAAATAACAAAATCATACCTGGTAAGTGTACATTTTCAAACCTCAGCTGTAGTCGAGGTCGTAGCCTAAATATCAGACTATCTTCAAAACTAAGGCTGTCCTCCTGGGCCCTGTGTACTTTAACCCTGACCACCTCATTGTCCTGTACATTACACAGATGTACCGTGTCCTCTGTCACCAGAGGGTTACCCTTGTCCAGGTGACACACCAGGAAGTTTTTGCCTTGGAGGACATCCTACGTAAATATAAAGTGGTGAAGTGACATAAATAAATAAATAAATAAATAAATAAATAAATAAATTCTGAGATATTGCATTATTTAGAATGATACACCACCCATCCTGGACAAAAAGAAAAAAATATTCAGTTCAACAGACCTGGTCAAAAAGATCTCCAATGGATCAATCACACTGAAGTTTCCTAACCCAAAGTTTCAAGAAGTGAAAACAATAAAGAGGCCATGAACACAACTACAGGCAAATATCACATATTATACATGTTATTAAAATGCTGGCAGATACCTCAATTCCCAGGGTCAGTATTTTTCTGCTCTCTTTGACGAGTGCAGATTCTGATGTAACTGCTGGTGAAATACAGTACACTCCACATACATTAAACCCTGAAACACAGAAAAAAATTAATATGATATCTAAAATGTTTTTCAAATTTGGCTAAATCAACACTA